TTCTATTGATGTCACCGTCCAAATGTCTTTTAAATGTAGTAACTATACCTGCATCTACCACTTCCTCTGGCAGTTCACTCCCCACCTGGACCACTCTGTAAAAAAACTTGCCTCTCATGTCCTTGTTAAAAATTTTCCCTCTCTCCTTAAAAATATGCCCCTTAATTTTGAACTCCTCATCTTCGGAAAAATACTTCTGCTGTTCACCTTACCTATGGACCTCAAGAGGGTCAAGAGAGCTTTACTTCAGTTTTTGAAGAGTAGAAAGAGCTTTACCATCTGGGTCTGTGCTATCCCTGTCCTGGGAGCACTTAATGGGGGCAATGTAGAGGTAGCTTTACTCTATATCGAACCTCATTCTATTCCTTTCCTGGCTGGCAAAGATTGATTCTGTTGTTTAACCTTCTGTGCACTTAAACGTAATATTGAAAAGAGATGTCGAGAGCAGGATGAGATATGCATGAGAATGCTATTCAGAAGTTATATTTGAATGACAGCAGTAACAGAGCCCGTAGGTCATAGAAAGCAAATAGCTTTCCACTTGAAACTCTTGGTCTGAGTGATCTCTCAAAGCCAGTTCCCTGCCCTCTGATGTAAAACCCAGAACCATAATGTATTGCATCGCTACAAACAGCTCCCTGAGGTGCACAGACACTGACAGAAGAACTTTCTATTCCTGTAGAACTCTCAAATTAGCACCCGCCAATAACCAGCCCAGCAGACCCAGTGTACCACCGTCTTGCTGCAGGAAAACTCGTTAGGTTTTCAGTCTGTCATCTTTACAAGAATTTAATCCCCGTCAATTTAGCCTGCTTGTTAGTGACTGCCCGGAGTGCTGGTCTTTCAGCGAGGGTTCTCCTAATGACTGCAGAGCTCACTGCTGATACCCAAAAATGGAGACACCACGCCCCCCCCACCCCCACCTCACTAAGAAGAATAAACAAGATAAAAAGAGACCAAGAGCACCTTTCATAGAATTCCCACAATTTGGAAGCTGGCCATTCAATCCATTGAATGCACACCAACCCTCTGAGCATCTCATCCAGACCCACCCCTCTACCCTATCCTATCCCTGTAATCCTGCATTTCCCATGGCTAGTTCACCTAACCCACCCACCCACCCACCCAATCTCTGGACACTATGGGCAACTTAGCATGGCCAATCCGCCTAACTTGCACATCTTTGGACTGTGGGAGGAAACCAGAGCACCCAGAGCAAACTCACACAGACACGGGGAGAATGTGCAGACTCCACACTGACAGTTGTCCAAGGTTAGAATCGAACCTGGGTCCCTGGTGCTGTGAGGCAGCAGTGCTAACCACTGAGCCACCGAGCCACCATGCCATCCTTCCATAACTTCCAAAGTGCTTTCCAGCCCATTGAATGCTTTTTTGAAATGTATTAGTCACTGATACAATGCAAGAAATACAGCTGCCAATTGGCACACAGCAAACTTCCTCAAACAGAAATGAAATGATGACCACTGTAATCTGCTTTTATAGTGTTGATTATGGTAAAATCCTGCACGGTTCTTCAAAACAAAGCCACAGGATCATTGACGTTCATTGGCAAGAGCAGACAGGCCCTCAGACTGATTCACAACCAAGTTCTATCAGCTCCGTGCTCAGCAATCGGGCCTCCAGGTTCCAGGATTTTGGGTTCAAGACACCTCCAGAGGTTTTAACAGAAAATCCAGACAATTGCAGTCCTGAGGGAGTGAGGCACAGTTGGAGATACTGCTGCTGGGGTAGGAAATTAAATGGAGGCCCTCCTCCTCTCCACCCCTCAGCCTCTATCATCAATCAGACTTGGATGTGATGCCTTTTGCAGTTGAATGGCTATTAATATTGATGCTCTAAGCTCATGGGTTAATACTTGTTGAGGTGGCAGCTACCTTACGGAACACTAACCCAGTGAATAGTCGATGCAGTCAGGGGTAAGTTGTTGATTTTAAGTTGGGAATTAATACAAATTACTTAGTTTAGGTGGTGGTCTATACATAAAAGACCACCTGAATTGCCTCAGATATGGGGGATCTTTCTGTGCTTTTGTCAGGAAACCAAAGGACTTGCATTTCTGTCGCACTGTTTACAACCTCGAGACGCAATGTTGTATTTTAGCGACAATGAAGTATTTGTTTTAAGCATCATCCCTGTTACAATGTAGAAAACACAGCAGCTAATTCACACACAACAAGCTCCCTCAAACATTAATGGAACAGATCAGCTGTCTTGACTTGTCCCCCACCCCCACTTTGAAATAGTGGCTGTGGGATTTTACAAATCCATTCGGGTGTGAGCAGTCAAGGCTTTGGTTTGGAGTCATAGAATCCCTACAGTGTGGAAACAGGCCCTTCGGCCCAACAAGTCCACACCAACCCTTGGAGCATCCCACCCTGACCCATTCCCCTAAAACCCACACACCCCTGAACACTACAGGCAATTTAGCATGGCCAATCCACCTAGCCTGCACATCTTTGGACCGTGGGAGGAAACTGGAGCAAATCCACACAGACACGGGGAGAATGTGCAAAATCCACACAGACAGTTGCCCAAGGCTGGAATCGAACCCGGGTCCCTGGCGCTATAAGGCTGCAGTGCTAACCACTGAGCCACCGTGCCACCCCAGTAGTTGGTACCTCCAACAATGCAGCACTCCCTCAGTGAGGGAACCAAGGATATCACTGGATGCAGAGAGTCCGAATGGAACACCAATGTCAATATGTGTCACTTGGGTTGGCCCTGAGGGTCAGTGGTTAGCACTGCTGCCTCAGAGTGCCAGGGACCTGGGTTTGATTGTACCCTCTGGCAACTCCGTGTGTGCGCTTGCGTGTGTGGAGTTTGCACATTCTCCCCGTGTCTGCGTGGGTTTCCTCTGGGTGCTCCCACAGCCCAAGGATGTGCAGGTTAGGTGGCTCCATGCTGAATTACCCAGCACTGTCCAGGGATGTGCTGGCTAGGTGGATTAACCGTGGTAAATACAGGGTTGAGTGGGTCTGGTTGGGATGCTATCCAGAGGCTGGTGCATCTCAAGGGGCCGAATGGTCTCTGTCTGCATACTGTAGGGATTCTATGAGAAGTCTACATGATGATCAACCCACTCCAGCAATCCATGGTAAGGAACACCATTCTTCATGAAGGCAGCAGAGCAAGTGTTAAATTATGCGTGAATAGTAAACAAGGAGCTCTGGTGAATTGAACACCTCTGTTTAAGTCGAGCTCAGTGAAAGCCTTTGGCCGTGATTGCTCGTGAGCCACAATCTAACACCAGCGAGGTGGTTCCCAACCCCAGTCCCCCAACAGCTTTGTAATGATTAAAATGAATAAGCACATACTCTCACCACTTCCCCCCTCTGTCCTCCTGGACTGAAACATCACTTGGTATTCTTAGCAAAAAGATCCAAGTTCTAACAGATACAGCCAGATGTTCTGGCAAGGATGTTTGGAAACCAGTTTCACAAGTATGCAGGAAGCACACAGGCAGGAGGTGAGGAGTTACTGCATGTCTACCGAGACACTAACTCCACACTGAAACAATTCAGGATCCCTGTGGCAATAATCTGCGGATCAGTGCTGCAAGCAACACTGGGAAATACCAGCACCACTCGATCATTGCTTGAAACAATTTGGAGTTCTGGCAGCTTGTGGCATTCTTCAGTTTGCATTCCTCCCTCTCTCTCTTTCATCAAACATTGTTCTTCCTCCCTCCCTCCCTTCAACAAAAGAGAACAGACAAACAAAAAGCCCCGCTCACATCTTCAGGATGTTGTCAGAACATCTTAAGTCAAAGCCCTTTACAGAAGTGTAGTCACTTTTCTACTAGCCTAAACATAGTGTCCAATTTATACACAGCAAGCTCCCACAAACAGCAAGTCATAATGGCCAGATGATCCTTTTTTTTGTTGTAGTTTTTTTTTTAATCAAAAAGTCTTTCACTGGATATGGGCATCACTGACAAGGTCAGCATTTGTTGCCCATTCCTATTTGCTCTTGAGTGCAATACTTGGTGATTTCAGAGGGCAGTTTTGAGATAACTACATTGCTGTGGGTCCGGAGTCACATGTAGGCCAGACAAAGGAAGGATGGCAGATTTCCTTCCCAAGAGATATTAGTGAACCAGATGGGTTTTTACAAAATTCAGTGATGGTGATGCATTGATTGAGGGATGCATATTGGATAGGTCACTGGGGAGTATTCTTGAGTCCTTGTTCAAGTGGCTCTGATAAATTGCACATCCACATAAGAGGACAGACAGAAACCTCTGTCTAATGCCTCATGCATTGGATGGCATCTCTGACAATGTCGCATTCCCTCTGTACTGAATGGGAAACCATGTCCTGCTCTTAATTCATACGTTTCTCTAACTACCTGGAACGCTGCAATCTTGAATTTTACGTCAAAGCTTGGTGGAAAGGCTTGTAAGGCAAGTTATCAGAGAGCGAGACAGGGCATCAGACTAACTTGTGTTTAGGTCTGAAGGCAAAAGGCATAGAAATCTACATTTGCCTATTACTTTGGGATGCCTACATATATGAACAGACATATAAATGCAGGCCACATCATCAAATCCACTGCCCTGATGTTCGGCAAAGCGGTCACCCAGTCTACACTTCGTTTCCCCAGATCTTTATCAACTCCTTTGTCTATCCAACTGCTCTTCTCTCTCTTCAGGCTCCATCCTATCATTTACTCCCTACCCCATCCCCCTCCCTATTTTCTGCATACAAACCAATGTTTTCCCAGCCACCATCAGTTCTGAGGAAGGGTCACCAGACCCGAAACGTCAACTTTTTTTTCTTCTTCACAGATGCTGCCGGACCAGCTGAGCTTTTCCAGCAACTTCTGTTTTTGTTCCTGACTTACAGCATCTGCAGTTCTTTCCGTTTTTATTTGTGATAAAGGGTGCTCACAGTTGACAGCCATATGTACCCATGCTCCCTGAGCCCGGCTAAAATGACATTACTTCCCCGTGGTCTTCGCCAAACAGTCACCTGACTCACCTGTTGCGAACCGTCCCCATTCACCAAGTGAGGCATCATGGGGAGCTCCCCATTGAGTAAAGGTGGCAGTTCCAAGGGAATCTGATCTGTCATCATCATTGTGACATACATTCATTGGGTTCTCGGCTCACTGCCGTCCTGCAAACAATAGTCAAAATGAACAAGACGTTAAGACAGACTTGGCTTTATTAATAGCATCTGATCACAGCTCTCTGAATTGAGCCAAAAATACATCATGCATAGACCATTTATATTTATTATAAAAACACTCCTGGAATGTAGCCACTGTTATCACCGGGGCAACACAGGCAGTCATTTCCTGCACAGTAAGATCCCATAATCAAAGATCCACAGAGCTGCATTTCTATAGCACCTTTCACATTGTCATAATTCCAGCAGACATTAATGCAAGTCAATCTGCTGAGTAAAAGGCAGGAAAGTGGAATTCAGGATTATCAGGTCAGCCATAATCTTATTGAATAGTGGAGTAGACTCAATGGGCTGAATGGATAACTTCAGTTCCTAGGTCTTATAATCTTACATCCCAGAGTCAACCTGGCTTGACAGATCCTGACATTTTTTCTCACTGTAGGGGCAGTTTCTGAACATGTCCACAAGAGTCTGTTAGCGCAGTTTTGACACAAAGAACTAAAATTTATATGAGTTGTTATACACTCGACATAGAAGTTGGAAAGATTTCACTGCAAAACCCAGAAACTGATTCAATCTCACCCTACTCCTTTTATCCATATGGAGATTGTGACTGCAAGAGCAGGCGAGAGGCTAGGAATCCTGCAGCGAGTTACTCACCTCCTGACTCCCTAAAGCCTGTCCATCTATAAGGCATGTGCAAGCAGTGTGATGGAATACCACTCTCCCCCCACATGCTTGGATGAGTGCAGCTTCAACAACACTCAAAGCTTGACACCATCCGGGACAGAACAGCTCAATTGATTGGTACAGTATCCATTAGCATTCACGTCCTCCACCAGACACGCTTAGTAGCAGCAGTGTCTACTATCTACACGACATAGTGCAGAAATTCACCAAGGCTTAGACAGGACCTTCCAAAATTGTAACCTCTACCATCTAGAAGAACAAGGGCAGCAGATACATGGAAACACCTCCACTTGCAAGCTCCTCTCCAAGCCACTCACCATCCTGACTTGGAATTATATCACCATTCCTTAAGTGTCACTGGATCAAGATCCTGGAATTCCCTCCCTGTTAGCATTGTGGGAGTAGTGACACCAAATGGACTACAGCTGTTCAAGAAGGCACATGCTCTCCAGGGCAACTAGGGATGTTCAACTATACTGGCCTAAGCAGCAAAGACCAAATGAATAAGAACAAAAAATTCTGGCAATATCCTTACAGACACCAAAACCACTATCTCCACATCAAGGCTTCTTGCACAGGTTGGCACAGCTGCACTTGGTTTCCTTCTAGTGAATTTTCGTGCATTTACTCGTTGCTTTATCTTCAGCTTGCATCTCTCCCTGAGCCACTGACAACAAACTCCAAACTAAATTCACTCTTAGTTTAACTTCAGAGTAAACATGAATTTCCTAAATGCAGTTGACAGATGGCTTGCAGGATCTAACACCTGTGCCTCCTTTTAACTGATTAAAGTTTTAACAGCATCTTAGGTTTGTTTAATACATCCTCACCAGTGGTGTGACTGTTTGATCTTTTACTTATAAATTCTGCATCTGATACCACCTCTCACTAACACTTCAAGAAGGAGCGAAGCTCCAAAAGCTTGCGATTTCAAATAAACCTGTTGGACTATAACCTGGTGTCATGTGATTTCTGACCTTGTCCACCCCAGTCCAACACCGGCACCTCCACATCATCACATCCACTCTCTCACACATGCACACATACATGCACGCATACACGCGCACGCACACATGCACGCATACACATACACACACTCATACGTACATGCGCACACATACACACACACACACTTCTTGAATTTTCCTATGTGTTTGTGTATCACTGGTCCCCTGTCACACAGCAACAGCATAGTTATTTTCAATTTCTTTTTTAGTGTCCTAATCTGTATTTCTTCATCTCAAGGGTTGTAGAATCCCATTATAAATGCATGTATAAAAAACATGCTTCCAAATGTCTTAGCACCAAGCTCACAAAAACAACTTTAAAAATGAAATTAAAATCAAGTATCTTCCTTCTTAATACAAAATGTAAACTATAAATTCAAGTACGTTGTTTCTCATAGTTCCCTCATGCGATCCCAAAGTATTTACACCCAATCATCTCTTAACTGCAGCCACTGTTGCATTGAACAAAACGTGGCAACCAACTTGCTCACAGCTAACTCCCATAAGCAGCGATGTGTTATTGGCCAGTTGTTGTGATGTTGAGGGGCACATAGAGCATTGAGAAGGCTGCTCTGCTCTTCAGATAATCGCATGGAAATTACATTTATCTGAGGGACCCCGGTTTAACAGCTTGTTGATAAGATGGCACCTCTGCCAAGAGTAGCCCTCCTTTTGTGGACAATGTGCATATTAACCTCTGAAGAAGACAGTGTAGCTCCAGCGTAGGCAGTTGTGAACAGGGAGCCCAAAGAGAGGTGAAGCAGAAGAGAAAATGAGTGGAACAGCAGCTTATGATGTTCATCTATTCCCAATGTCGTGATAAATAACTGCTTCGATTGTCTAGATCCTTGAAAACACTCCTCGAGCAGCAAAGGAAGATATAAGAAGTATCGCAATATTTTTAATTCAAAATGGTAAGGTTCGTGTGGGTTGTAGAGCAAATAGGAAAAGAATAGCAAATCTCAGTCAGAGGAGGGTCAGTAACCAGAGATCATGGATCAAAGATAATTGGTACAAGAACCAGTGAGGAGATGAGGAGAATTATTTTTATGCAGCAATTTGTTAAGGACTTGCCTGAAAGGATGATGGCAACAGATTCAGTGAGAACTTTTTAACAGGAATCGTATAAATATTTGACTGGAAACAGATGTGCCTGGTTCTGGGGAAAGGGCAGGGACCAGAGCATCAAAGAGCCAGCACAGGCTGGATGGTTCAAATGGCTTCCTCCGGTAATGTAGCAATCAATGTGCTTACTCCCAATAAAGCTCCCTCTTATGTTGAGTTAGCAATGTGCTCACATATCATACATTGCAGAGGGCATGGAATATAAGAGCAAGGAGGTGCTATAAGACACTTGTTAGATATCAGCTGGAGTACTGCATCTTATTCTGGATGCTACAATTCAGGTAGGATGTGGACATATTAGAGAGAGTATTGAAGACATTTACAAGAACGGTTCCAGGATGAGAAACTTCAGTTATGAGGATAGAATGGAGAGGTTTGGCCTGTTCTGTCCGGACAGGAGAAGAGTGAGAGAGATCTGATAGAGGTTTTCAAAATCATGAGCGGATTGGATAGAGTAGATAAGGAGAAACTGCTCCTGCTTGCAAAAGGATCAAGACTGAAGGGCCACAGAGTTAAAGAGATTTGCAAATGAAGTGAGTGTGATGTGAGAAAAAAACTTCTTCATTCAGTGAGTAGTTAACGTTTGGAATCCATTGCCTGGCAGTGCAGTGGAGGCACTGAGGTATTCAAGAAGGCATTTGATGATTATTCAAATAGAAACAATCAGCAAGGGTATGGGAAAGGCAGCAGAATGGAAATAAGACATGAAGGAGAGTTGGTGCAGGCACGATGGGCTGAATGGCCTCCTGAAGTTCTGTGAAATTGTACTTTTAAGTATCGTCCCAGAGCGTGTGTGCAAGGAGATAGTGATATGTAATCACAGGGAGCTAGAGCTCACATAGGTAGCCTCAGTGTATAGTTATGAGCAGCAAAGCTTGTTGCTGTTCACTCACAACAGCATGGGGCCCACATTACAACATAAATCATGGGGTGATGCAAAAATGACCTGATCTGCGAGGGATACCCTGTCTCTCATGGCTATCCTTACTCTCTGTATCCAATCAACCGAAGCTTCGCCTCAGCATTGCCAGCTCTAAACTGAAACCATCTGAGCTTGGCAAAGTTTGGTTCTTTCCCCAATAACAGAGAGCTCAGGAAAACACTTCAAAGAGTCACTGGGACTGTTAATATTCCAGGCTAAAGCAGTGCCAATAAGTTAAGCTGTTCAATATTGTTCAACTGAACTGACTCGAAATTTTAAAGAAGCAGAAGACAGTCTTTCCAAGGGGTGCTGATGGGAATTTGGCGAATTATTTACAACACATTGCATATTCTCTCGCATCTTGCTGATCTGGGGCTCCCTGAACACTTGAGCCTCCAATTCCCCCAACTGAAGACTCCCTGCTACATGACCATTCCTGACATAGGGTCCTCCAATTCCCCCAACTGAAGACTCCCTGCTACATGA